ATTATAATTAAAATCTTGACTTATTAATGAAAAAATTTTAATAACCAATTCACCACCCTCTTAGTTAGCCACTCTTGAGCTTTCAATAATAAATACATGTACTTTCATAGTACGCCAAATGATCCACACATTTTCTATGAACATATTTGGATGTGCCTTTGCACTTGCAATGAGCAATAAAATCCCTACCTGATAAAGAACAAAAGTTAAAAAACGGAGAACCATTCTAATTAACATATACCAATCAACATATTTACTTCATACATTGTGAAATTGAATGCCAACATTTAGAAAACCTTTTAAACCACAATATTCCAGGTCAATGAATATTTATATAATAAGAACAAGAAAAGCACGATGATATTAGATTACAAGGTGAATATAAATCACATTAGGTCCTCAAAGTAAGCAAAAACTCTTCTATTATTTCAAAAAAGAATTGTAGATTTGAGAACCCAATCTCTTGCAATACAATGCTGAAACAGTTAAACACTTAAACAATTTCCAACTTTCCCTATGCAGGATTATAAATTTTACAAATTAGTAAAATGGGAAACATTTGAACCCCATACCACTTATGTAACAGTTTCCACGCATAAAAAACTACAAAATCACCATTTTTTCCTCTCCAAAATTTGTTGAATGATAAAGAAAACCTATTGATTGAATCATTTTTTTTCTTGAAACCCAAAAAAAATGCACGTCAAATAGAAATTTTAATGAATATGAGGCAAATTGTCTGTAAAATTAACAATGATCCATGAAACGCTAAACACCCAAAATTTTTACATAGAATTGCCATAAAAACTTATAGGTTCTTCATCAATCTCTCGATACGTGGAAAATATCCCCAACAATATCTCAGAGGAAATCTCAAATGGTACATTCCCAGTATAAATCTTCCTCAATGCCAAATGAACAATATATGCATTTTGATATAGAGGAATTGAAATTGATCCTCTACGCACAAAAATCCACATTCAGCAAGTTGAAAATAAAGGAAAATCGATAGAGCCAACGTTGGAAATTGAAGCCCCACATTCCACAATCAACTAAACCATAATAAGAAATAGAGAAGAGAAGCAAAATTAAACAAGAAATAAAAATGAGACAAAAAGGAAGGACAAGTCTCGTACAATATGAATGGTTGTGTGGAGAATAGAGCAAAGAAGGAGGATGTGTGAACAAATTGATTATGATTGTGAGAAGAAAAATGCGTCATGTTTGAGAAAGCTAAAAATAAAAAAATTAAATTGTTATAACACTAAATATATGACGTCAGCATGATATCATTGATGATGTCTTATGAACAGTAACCCACTTTGCTCTTTCATATATTGTATGGATCTATTTAAATTCACGAAATTTATTAAAATTTATAATTTTTTACCTTGTATCAAAATCTGAGTTGAGGAAATATATATAACATATTATTCTGAAATCTCACTATTTTTAATGAGATTTTGCGAAAGTATATTAAATTCCTGAAAGTAAAATATATAATTTTTAAAATTCATCAAAATCTACACCCCCTTAATCCCATGGTAGAATGTACGAACTACATACTGTAACGTCCGGACCAGTTGCCCCCCTTGTACACTGGCCTTGTGTGATATACAACTCTCTCGTGTCCATGTACTAGAGCCTATCTGCTTCCCGTTTTAATACTAAGAATGTACTTTGACTAATAGATTGATGGCGAATGTGTGATTAAAATATAAGAAATTTTTTTAAATTTGCGTGTAATGATATTTCATTAAAATATATGTGATTAATCTGCTTGGCAAGGGGCAACGTGGCGCCCCAGGCCATATAGCACAATTCCATGCCCCTTTTTTGGTGTTATTTTGACAAAAATGAAAAAAAAATTTGCCAAGTGTACATCTAGCCTAACTCTAGCAGACGTCTATGACTCTATCTTTATAGGATCGGTATCCGTTTGACATCCATTAATTTCTCATTCTCATTCTCATTCACATTCACATTTTTCATTTCAACCACACATTTTTCAAATAAAATAATATTACACACAAATAAAAAACTTTTTATCAATTTTTCACTACATATTCTCACATCAATCACTATTTCAAAATTTCTATTCTCCTCAAAATTAGATTCAAACACACCACATGCTAGTTGTATAGCTGAGGTTGACAACCTCTCATATGGGGGGTCCACTTTTTTTTTAATTGTTTAAATATGCGGATCCCACACACATGTGAGAAGTTGGTAACCTCGATTGTACAAATAACATTTTCCATCTTTATATTTCCTATCTGACTAATTAGCACAAAACGTCCCTACCTTTGAGGTTGATTTTGGAAACCTTCCATACCTTTCATTTCTTGGCATTTATACCCTCACCTATCACTTTTTCATGCGTTGAACATCCTTTTCACCATATTTTGACTATTTTACCCTCCATTCAAATAAAACAAAAAGAAAAGAAAAGAAAAACTAAAGAATTAATTGCAGTCGTGCTCCCAAAATTTTTAAAAAGTGCAAATGAGCCCAATATCCTTATTAAAGCAGTTGTGAAGAATTGATTTCGAGAATTTGAGCACTAATTGGAGCAATTGGCTGTCGACCCATAGCAATTGCATCATCAATTGAAGTTCTCCCCATCGAATTAATCATTTAGAGCCGTGTAGGATCATCAAAATTTTGAAAACCCAATTTTTTGCACAGATCGCTAATGGCAACCATTAATTGGACAGGGTTTGGGTGTAATTGGTGAAGACACATTACTGGGCTAAGTGCGCCAGGTGAAGGAGAACCTAGCCCAGGTGGTCCGCCTCCATAAGTGCTCCGGATAGCGCCGGAAATTGAGATCTTCGTTGGCGGAATCACGAGCTTCTCAACATGGCAGTTTTTAGACTCAAATTCAGCCCGTTTGGGAGATGATTGAGATGAATTGCCACCATGTATAGGCTTGTCTGGATTTGGGGAAGAGGCTAGTAGGTCCACCTCCATGAGTGTGAACACCAGCGCCGAAAATCGCGATTATTTCAGGCAAAATCGCTACAGTCGCGACTGGCGAAGAAATTGTTGCAAAATTAACAGGTTGGGGAGTTTTTTGGAGTGAATTGGGAGCATGGGTGGATCTTCTATTGATGGGCAGTCGGCCAGTGGTGGGTTTCGGCCATGGGTTTGGCCGGAATCACGATTCCCGACTTTTTTCATTTTCTGTGGCAGTTTTTTTCTTGGCTCGATTTCTTGCAATTTTGTGGATGGAACTTCTTGATGTTTAGATGTACTGGAAGCTAGTGTTATGGGCTTGACATGGGTGATGTCCGGCGGCTTTGGTGGCGGTTGGTGGTCATTTTTTGGAGGAGGAAGGTGGCCGTAGGGAGGAAGAGGCGAGAAGAGAGAGCGACAGAGAGATTTTTTTTTTTTAATGTTTTATTT